TTATTATTAACAATGATCTTGATGAACCCATTATCGCTATGTTTTAATTATCACAAAATATTGTTAATATTAATAATATAACCTATTTATTTATATTTATTATCATACTTATTTGTTTGGTTTAATATCACTAGTTATTATTTAAATGTATTGTTACTTTTTTTTTTTACCAAGCATCAATAGATACATCAAATATTTGATCATGTTTTTAATTTTGACATTTAAATTTTAAATTTTGATGTATTAATTGTTGAGCTTTATATGTGATTATTATTATTATTTATTCATTATTGTATTGATTATTTTACCTTTTATCTATTGTAATATTGGTATAATTTAGTTATAGAAACATGTAAACAAGTAAATAATAATTCCTAAATTTAATTTCTCTGCGCTCCACCAATAAATTAAGTACATAATATATAATTTATATTATTTTATTCAATTAATGAATACATTTTGGAGTGCAGAGTAAAATAAAAATAAGAGATTCTTCTTTATTTTTTATTTGAAATACTTGTTATTTTAAATAAAAGAAAAATAAGAATCTCATTGTTTCCATATGATGAATAAACACGTTATTTAATAATAAGAAGAATAAAGGCAGCTTTTTCATGCGKAATTCATTGGTTATTTTGACAAAGTATATACCATATTATTTCAGGGTAATACATTTATAAATATATTTTATTGTTGTTTTTATACAATATATAATTATAATCATGTTTGAAAAAATTCCCATACTGACACCTTCTACGAACAGTGCTTATTTCAGAACTTTTATTCTGAAGGATAGTATCATATGTTTTCTAGGGGGTATACCATACGAGTATAGGAGTAATTAATGAAGAGAAGTAAAATTATTATTTTATGTTCAATTAATTAGTATTAGATAGATACCATTAAATATGCTTAAAATATAAATTCTTAAAAATTTTTCGTCTAATTCTAAAAAGGTTTAAAAAAAATTTAATTGACGTTTATTTAATAAATTAAATTAAACAAATCCAGGACTGTTTTTGATGTGCATACAAATCAATTCGTTCACTGTATCTTCATCGAGTTCTGTTGGTCTCCTTCCATACTAATTTTCATGCAGGATTGCAATGTTTCTTGTTCCATTAATATCTTATTTTATTCATAATCCTATTCATCGTACTGAAAAACTGCTTGGCATTGACCGTGAATCTAGTACTCACTTTAAGCATTCGACCAATTTTTTTCAAATTTACATACCCAATATTTGCTTTAAAAATTCGTTCAAAGCTTCAGCCTAATAGTAATTTTCTGAGCAAACGTGTTTTTAGAGTTAAGAGACAGCAGCTTTTCGATAATTTTCAATTGGACTTAGGACACATATAAAAAAATTATTGAAGATTTACGCTCAACTTTTTTTTATTTCCACTAACAACAAGTTATGAGGAACGTTAAATATCATCGTTTTCGGCAATAATAAAGAAAATAATATGGCTGGAAATGTTCTATTTTGAATCACAATATTTCGAAAATTTTATGGTGCATAGAAATTGGTTGTATCAAAACTTAGTTTTTCATGTATCTAGTATCTACTATAGTCACACTAAAAACCAATTCGATTTTTAAGCTTGCGTATACATTCAGTTTTTCTGATGCTTTTTTTTGACAACTACAGAGAATTTATTATTTTTGACCACTCTTTCCAAAAAAAAAAAAAATAATACTTACTAGATAGTAAATACACTTTATTACTAGAAAATATGCTGTTTAAGAAAATCGAAATATTTGTATTGTTCTAAAAAGGTGATGACGTGATGTCAGACATACAAATAATAATACGAATTGTAATAATACGCTCCGATGAAGTGAAACTACTTTACAGAGGGTATAAAAAAAAAGATTATTGTCTATCACGATCAAATAWTAATTTTGTATTGAAAAAATAAAAAACAAAATTTTCAATTGAAATTATAAGACAAAATAAATGGATTATTATTTATTACCAGGGCTAGGATTTGTATGCAACAACATGTTTGTTTTTRCGACTTCTGATTATTGATTTTGTCAGTAATGTCCTCGAATCACCTCATGATGAGATAAATGGTGGTGTTTTTATTTTGTATGTTTTTGCATATTTTGGATAAAACGCATATTAATGCATATATTGAATGAAATGAATATTATTGCATATTTCGATTATAAGAATGCGAAAAATGCATGTTTTATAGTATATTTCATAATTAATATTTATAATTTAATATTAATATTTCGTATTTCATTGTAGCTATGCTGATTAAAGTATAAAACTTGGTTTTTTTGTCAAACACAAATTTTATTTTTATAAATACAATCCTATATGGCACAATAGGTATGCGATTAAAGATTGAATAGTTCTTTCTCATAAACACAATTAATTAAAGTATGTCGGTCAATATAAAATCTAAGATAGAAATTAAAATGCATATTTTGGTAAATAAAATGCATATTTTACAATTTTTTATTGCATACAAATCCTAGCCCTGTTTATTACCATACAAACCTTAGTGTCGAGTAAGACACTCGTAACGCTTTTTGGTCGCAATGACTAAACTCATTAATTCCACTTAGGCGCATTACTGAGGCTAAACAAATTTTACTTATAAAATAACATGCATAGTTGTAAAACAGTAAAACCAATATATTCATCGCTCCACTTATGCTCAGAATCTAAAAACTAGAAAAACAATTGAATATTTTTCGTGCTTAATATTTAAAGATATAATATAATATTAAAAATGCTAATTTTAACATTTGGTAAAAATTTCAATCATCTTTGATTATTTGTTTTTCAATAGGTAGCAACCAGTAATAAAAACAATTTTGACCTACCATGTTTTTGAGTTAAAATTCCATTTTTTTCCTAATAATGTTTAAACTTTTAAGCATATATTTATAATTACATTTTATCCGTTCTTTAAATTATTAGTATTCATTATTATATTTATTATTCAATACCTATTTTCAAAAAAAAAAAAAAAAATAAATGTAATACTGGTAAATTAAATCAAATTAATGTTACCTATAAATGTTTTGGTTGTTTGTTGACCGCCCGCACGTTTACTCAACTTCTGACTTATATAACGACTTCTACCAGTTCTACCTGATGACGTATTATACGTATATATTTAAGATTTTCTGGTGGTACAAAACGATTAAGGGTCCATATTAAAATAGTTGAACTCCGGTTAAACCACGGAATTCGGCCGGTAAAATCAGTGGTTCAAGCATAACCGAAGTTTAAACCATAATTGTAAAACGGGTCCTAAGTGATGGTATATTTAATATTACATTAATCGTGTAGGTCAATTAACTCCACTCCCTTATTCCCTCGCCCACAATACAATAATATTTATTCATTTTCCAACTATAGTTTATAGGTAAATGTTATATACCGATATCCATCGTGAGTATTATCATCACAATTGTTATTAGATATTAGTAAATATATATAATATATGAATCCCGGACGAAAAGTCCGGTATGGAAATAGTTGGACAAAAAGTTCGGATTAATTTTTTGATTGCTGGACAAAAAGTCCGAACACATTTTTAGTGTCGGACAAAAAGTCCGAAAATACAAAATTGTCTATTCAATTTTCATTTATAATTATAATGTACCTTATATTATATAATATTATTATGTAGGTATATATATAGTATACACATTAATATTATATACCTATATATAGTCAGTTCATATATATAATTATTATTTATTTAAAAAAAYGTACCTATATAATATAATATAATCAAGATTAATATTATAATCGTGGTAATAACACTATTGTAGCATGTAKATTGTAGGTATGATATTATATTATGGTAGATAMACTGTAGACGTACGGCTGCGATAAACATTAGATCCATATAGATAGACCTACCTACCAAACTATAGCGGATTTCCGTAATATTTATTTAGGTATTAGAAATAATAAGAAATTAGAAAATATAAAAAAAAGTAGGTACAATGATATAATAATGTAATAAAAGTATTACAATTAGGTACATTTTTAAAATAAATAATAATTATATATGAACTGACTATATATATATGTATAATATTACATGTGTACCTATACTATATATATATATATATACCTACATAATAATATTATATAATATAAGGTACATTATAATTATAAATGAAAATTGAATAGACAATTTTATATTTTCGGACTTTTTGTCCGGCAATCAAAAAATTAATCCGGACTTTTTGTCCAACTATTTATTTCCATACCTGACTTATTGACCGATTACCATAATATATATATTGTAAATAGTGTAAGGTGCGGAAGGGATTGTCCAACGCACCGATAACACGATACGATACTCAATGTATACCTTCCGAGTGCAGTACAGTAAAACCTCCTTTAACGGACACCTCCAAATAACGGACGGAATTTTGGGAACGGTGAAATGTGTACTCACTGAATTTCCCCTCTTAATAGCGGACACCTCCAAATAACGGACGGAATTTTGGGAACGGTGAAATGTGTACTCACTGAATTTCCCCTCTTAATAGCGGACACCTCCAAATAACGGACGACGTTTAAGCGACCGAGAGTGTCCGGTATTTAGAGGTTTCACTGTAGTAGTAAAAACAMAGTTATAGAATAAACATACTATGTCAACGTATTTTGTGTTTATATTATTACCACACGATTTAACAAACTGGCGACGAAGATAGGATCCTGTATCGAAACCGGAACCGTAAAAAACCTGAAGGTTTCAGTCCCTGGTAGGGGTAGGCAACCCATTGAGGTACTATTGTACTAAATCACCTACTATATATATACTTCTGTAGTGCTCTATAACACCTAATAGTTAACGCACAGTACTGTGAACTAAGATATCTTAGCCGTGCAGAAAACCGGTACCTATTTTGTTGTTTTTAATTCAAAACWACTCAAACCTGATGGCTAATACCTATACCTATACATATTGGGTACATGGCCACAGTTATTCTGTGACATGGTTGTATTTACAGTTATGAATAACTTGCTCRCCTCTCTCCTTGTGAAGTGAATCAATTAGTAAAATTGTCCATAAATGAAAACAATTTTTTTTGTTTTTTATTATCATTAAATTATGGTTAAAACTTGAAACAGTTGAAACTGAAGACTTTAAATCAAAAATCTCATAGTTGTGCCGTCTGTGGACTTGGGGTATTTGTAACTGGTTTCATACTTTCATCCGGCATGTTTTGGTGTTATCAATTTAGAATTTAGATCGATAACATTAATTAGAGGTGATAGCCGACAGTATTAAAAAGTTAACGTGTTCGCAGTAAATATTATAGGTAATGGTATTTTTACAACTATATATATTTGTTTCGTAAAAATCGAACTTAAATATTCAGCGCAGTAGAACACGTATAGGCAGTACTCGCCATTCGAAGTACATTAATATTATTCAGTACTGACCTTTAAACTAATCGATAACGACACATTTATCATTATGAATTTAATAAGGTACTTAGACCTTTTGCAGATGCAATATTTTTTATTCCTCACGAGAATTTGTTATAAATTATAATATAAGACATCATAAATTGTTATATATGTATTATTAAATATACCTATTGCACTGATCATTTTATTTCAAAAGTAATGACCATTACATTACTTTTAAGAAACAGTACTTACAAAATTATTTTTATTTTCAGATATTTGATATAAGTTTCGTGAAATATGGATATTTTAACAAATAGTATCAYCAAATTTTGTTCATTGCCACCTTCATGTATTGTCGGAGTGACCGCAGCTGTTGGTTTTATAAATTATTATTATATGTTTGCAGTTAAAGTAAGAGTTTATTAATTTACTTGTTATTATCTATAATAATACAATAACATATTTATAAAGGTGGTGAAAAAAATGCTTAAAATATACTTTTTTTAACATTATCTAAAACTTTATTCTTAAAATTAATCATATATTTCACAACTATATATGTTTGACTTATTTAATTGTATCATATATATATATATTATATAATAATGATAGAGTTTTAAAGTAATTTGGCAAATGACAAGTTAAGAAATAAAAATAAACTAATCTAGAACAGTAGTTCCTAGACGACTGCTAGTGGGTATGCAAAAATTCAAAACTCTAGTAGGTAGTGTATTAAAAAAAAAAACATTACATTTTTTCTCATCCAATTTATTTACATTGTTTTTATTTATACATAGTAAACAATACATGGTTAGTTAAATAATAAAAGGTATTATAAAACATTTTAATGTATAGTCAGGCCTAGGTATGGCTCGGTAAGTTATCAAGTTAAACTCAATGTGCCACATACAATTTGGACTTGTTCAGTATTATTAGTAATATATGACCTAAACTCAGAAAAATGAAATATAAACAACATTAATTAATAAATATGTTTTATTAAAAAATGGACAGTCAGTTTTTTTAAGGCCCAGTTAATAAGCAGTTAAAATTAGTTAAGCCGATACTTCAACTATCTAACACTTTTTATAGCTTATTTTTGATAACTCACCCTAATTTACCYTTATAATTTTGGTTTAACGCCTATTGATAATATAAATTTCAAGGTATACTGACTACTCAGTGATAAAAGGGCGGGAAACTGCTGATCTAAACAATTTMAATTTATACACGATCATTAAAATCAATTATTTATTTTAGATTAACGTATTAGACTATAAATAATTAAATATTTTTCAGGTTCCCAGAATACACTGTAAAGAAGGTAAATTTAAAAATTTTATTYGTCAAAATGTTCCAATTATTAATGAAAAGTACTGGCCAACAATGTGGTGTTTTGAAGCTAGATTTCAAAGTGTATTGGCAAGTTTGATAAGATCATTTATAGTTCCTCCAGCTCCTTATAGAAGGTATTTATATACCTTTTTAAAATCTAATTTCAATAATCTTGACTTTTTGATTTATTTATTACTAATTTTGTACTAAAAATTAATTTTTAGAGAAATATTTACGTTAAAGGATGGAGGTGAAGTGGCATTAGACTGGCTAGAACCAATAAAAAGTCCTAACGAAATGTATGACGCAACAATTTTGTTTTTGCCTGGATTAACTGGTGACAGTAAATGTGAGTATGTTCGAGCTACATCATTGGCTGTGCAAAAATCTGGATTCAGAATTGTTGTTTTCAATTATAGAGGGATAGGTGGTATTGAATTGAAGGTACTAAATATTAATATATTTTTAACTATGTATCAAAATAAGAATTGTATAAGCACTAAGTTTTTTTTTAGTATTTTATATTTAAATTGTAACTTTTTTACCAAAAAGCTAAAATCATATTGCTATCTGCATGATTTGATTGCTCATTTATATAAAGACATTAAATAATATTATKAAAACAGTTTTTATTTCTGATTTTTTCCAAGAAATATTTAATCAGGAGTTTTTGAGGGGAGACATGGAGATTTGGACCCCCTTGCAATTTGTATTCATAATAATTGTCATAGGGGATAATCAATATTTACCAATATATTATGCGTATTTTATTATTTTTTAGCTGTATAACCCAGCTTTGTTCGAGTCTGACTGCTTCATTTTTTTTCTGTTTTCTACATTAATTTCTACAGTTTACAATTCACTTTTATATAGTATAGTTATGTAAATACATGAGTCATGAATTGAGAAAAAATAAAGGGGATACAAAGTGTTAAAAAAAAAAAAAGTGCTTGAATATTTAAATGTCTTATTGATTAGGTTGATTAGGATATAATTAAAAAGGGTATGCATAAATATGCCTTAAAAAGAAAAGGGACTCTGTTTCCCTTAATTCAAGTACCGGTTATATAGGTATAATTTAGTTATGAAAACATTTCAAGAAAATGATGGACATTTTTTTAAGCAATTGTTTGCCAATCATAGTCAAGGAAAATTACTCTCATCAAATGTAGCTCTCCTTTATATGACTTAAATGGTGCCCATATTTAATATGATGTAATGCCATTTAAAACCATTTTTTTTTAATCAGTATTTGAATATGTATATTAACATGTGTTTTAATTTATATASTTAAATGTTATCATACATCAAAAATATAAATTTTTTATTAAAAACTACAATATTAATATGTAATTTTTGTTATTTCATAGGAAAGAACATAACATTTTTCAAATAAATTACTAATTTATTCTAAGTAACTAGACTAACTAAAGTAGTTATCAAGTATTTAAGCTTCAAAAATGATCATTAATAATTATAATTAAACAAAATACTTATTCTATCTTTTAAAATCTTAGATTTAATTCTAAATGAAAGACTTATAAGTTATAAGTTATACATTTTGAAACAAATCTAAGTTATGTTATTAATCATTGTGAGTTTTTTCACATTTTGATTTAATTTATTTTTATTTTAGACTCCGAGAACTTATTCTGCTAACAATATTGATGACTTAACTGAAGTTGTTTGTCATATAAAAAGCAAGTACCCAGGCACAATTTTAGGTGGAATTGGTGTATCTATGGGTGGGTAAGTAATCTACTAGTTATTTATCTTCTTTTTCTATGTGTTTATAAATTACAGTTATTATTATTTTACATAACAGACTTTTATTGGGAAGTTTTTTGTCATCTAATGTGCAATATGTTCACAAATACTTCTCTGCTGCTATGTTAATTTCAGTTCCATGGAATTTAATTGCAACCACACAAAATATAGAAAAACCATATTTAAATCGTTTTCTTTGTTCATACTTAGCAAAATGTCTTTGTAATCTTGTTGAAAAGTAAGTTTAAACATTAGTTAATTAATTCAATGACCTATTTATTAAACCAAAATATRTTTTATTTTTATGTTTTAGTAGTAGCAATATGTTAAGTTCGTCAAGTCATAAATGGGATTATCATCAAGTCATTAAAGTATAACATTTTTTTATAAAGTAACTGTAATAGTTTTGGTAAAAATAAAATGGTTTTCAGAGTAAAACTATTAGAGAATTTGATTCAAATTATACAATCAAGTTATTCGAACATGAATCTGTTGATGATTATTATAAAAAAGCTTCACTCCATGATAAATTGGATCTTATCCGAGTACCTTGTTTGTGTTTGAATGCTGCTGACGACCCATTTTGTTTGGAATCTGGTAAATATTACTTCGTAAACAATATATAGTTTGTAATGTAATTTAGATAACTTTGATTGATGTTTAGATCTGCCATTAAAAAGTGCTGACAGCATGGACAATTTAGCAATTTTGGTTACAGTAAAAGGTGGGCATATTGGGTTTTTAGAAGGTATTTGGCCATTTAGTAATAGCAATGAATTTATGTTTCGTTTAATTGACCAATATTTTAGCTCAATATTTAAAAATAATAACTATAAAAAATATGATAGTTAAAATTGTTATTTTTGTAATAAATTTAGAGTTAAGTGTATTTACTAATTTAGATAAAAMATGTGATCAAATATTTTAATTTTATTGTGTA